TTTTTCTCAGGGGCACCCAACGGGAAATTTTGAGAAAAAGACCTAAAAACAACAACAAAGCGTGAATAAAGTTTTCTGAGACTATTTTAAGCATTTTGGGAGATTGCTGGAAAAAAAATTATCTGTTCCTCACTCCCAGCAAGACTGATGGAAGAGTTCCCAGCCAGCAACCTTACAACCTGCAACCTGACTTACTGGGAAGTTTCATAGGGCACAATTCAGATCTTGAGTGGTAAGCAACCCATACAAGTAACCCGTAGCAGCTATTCTAGACTTCAAATCCCCTCTGACACCCTGAATTATCTTTTTCCCAGCAACACTTTCCTTCCAAGGACTATTATTTTTTCCACATCTCCCAGCCAGCAAAAATTTGCATGAAGAACAGATATTTTGAGGAACAGATCCATTGGGTGCCCCTGTTTTCTATCTCGCTCTAGCTCTTTTTCTCGTTGAGCTTCGCTGGCCTGTCGCCTCACATGGCCCGTCTCCTTTTCTCCGTCTTTCTCTTTCTCTATTTTCCAAATTTGTGGACATGACAATTAATCTAAACTTAATACTTTAGACAACAGGATACAGAAATATTTTCCGCTTTCCGTTTAGTTGTTTCTGCTTCACAAGACGCGGGTGGCCATACGCTTTCCGGCCAAAATAACCTGACATTCGGCATCGGCTTACATGAAGTGGGTGTGCTGACGGTCGGCGTTTGTGCGCTACGTCATAACCAAATTTTCTTGCTTTCATAGGTTATCAATTTATCAGTAGCAATGAGGCTCCGCCACGCGCTTCGCGCGCGGGAGCTCCGCTGAAAAGGTCTAATCGAAGAAGTACCTGCGAGTTTTGCGGGGATCTCGCGCAAACGCGCGGGAAATTATGGCGGAAGGTGCGTTGAGGAAAGAATGGGAAATTTTCTGGTTTGAAAGACTCAACAAGCATCAAGAGGAAGTCTTGCGACTTGTTGTTGAATCAAAGAGGGATGCCTCTGTGAATCTTCCAACTGGTTTCGGAAAGTCTGTAGTACTTCAGGCTTTGTCTGTTCAAGGGCACCCAACGACTGTTTACTGTAAAATATCTCAGTCGGAGAAGCAAATATTGCCTAGAATTATCTATTACTTTATCTATGAAATTCGCTACAATTTTCTGAAGTTTAATCTTGCAATTTCACATTTCACTCGCCAGGTTAGGCTATTTTTCATAAAAAAAAAAAAAAGGAAACCTAAAATTTTCGGATTCAAAAATATGATGGAAAGAGGAATCAGAAAAATTCTCTCCTTCGTAATGCATCAGTCAATTCCAGCTGCGCCCAGTCCCCCCCCCCTCCCCCGGGCGGGGGGAGCATTTTTTTTTTTGCTTGGATAGCAAATTCTCGGGGGTGGGGATTCTTGAGCTGTCAAATCCCCAGGGGTGGGGACGAAACAAGAGGGCAAATGCCCTGTCCTCCGTCAACACTGCAACATTTTTCATTGATCGCACTATCGAGTAGTGCAATTTTAAGCTTTTTAATGTGCGATTTTTTGTTTCAATTAACGTCTTCCTTTGTAATAGTGCTATTCTAATTAAGACTTCACGCCGTGACGACACCAGTTTATGGTTTTCGTATTGTTATAATTAAAATTATTGAAATTTTAAAAATTAATAGTGCGCTGTAAAGTTAACTGCTACGAATGGTTTTATAAATGTGAAAGGATGTTCTTCCAATAATATCGAGAGAAACTTGATTCAATAACCAAAAAAACGTTGATTCACCTCGATAGTTCCCGAGTTTTGCTATGAAATTCTGGCTTGATAAGCAATGAAGAAATGCATGCACAAAATCGAGAACATGCCTTCACAAACCTCTTCAGTTTTTTCCCATCCGATCCTTGACAAATGAGCCAATCTGCTTGTTTTCAAGTAAAATCCTCTGTGTAGTTATATTCGGATAGGAAACCGCGTGCGTGTCAAAAGCTCGGGGCTGGCCCCGGGGTTGGCAAATGCGCCACCCCCAGGACTGACAGGGCGGGCAATTGCCCCGCGGTAGCCCGGGGAAGGGGCTGGGCGCAGCTGGAATTGACTGATGCATAAAGCCCTTGAAATTTCGAGAAGACTCAAGTTGCCCTAGGATCACCGAACACATACAAATTTAGCGCCGCTTAGAATACATTTCTAGATGTCTAAAAGTACACTGGATAGCCTAAAAGGAGTTTTCAAAGTATTTAGGAGGAAACCGTCGTTGGGTGCCTCTGTCTACTGTGTCTATTGTGTATTCTTATGTGGAACCAACAAACTCGAGCCGAAAAAACCGGATGCTCTCTGTGTACAGCCGCCCTTTCTAGTCTGGGAACCGCAGAAGATTTTTTTTACTCAGAACGACGCGTTTATAATTACGGATCGTGGGACTGTGATTGATGAAGTAAGCACCAAGAGGATTCATATTGAAGAAAAGATTAAGGGACATTTTTTAACTTGTGGATTACGCGTAGCGTGACGGAACAAGTTATTGTGGGCACTGTGATATGCAAACGTGTCACTAGGGTGTAGACACCGTTCGGAATTAGTCGGCTCCGCACGAAAGCGCCCCTTGATCGATCGTTCCCGTTCCGTGTGCATTGTGCCCAATGGTCTGGTCTGAAAAATAGTGTCAGGACTTGGAGAACCGGGCGGCACCCCCAACCACCACCAAGAATTCCCAGGGAGGTCTGTACACAGGCTACAATCAAAGCTTAGGTGAGAAAAAACCTTACAATTAACCTCAATAAATTGCGGCACGCGGTTGCCGGATTTGCGACGCATTGCGTGGTGTCTTGGGATGCATTATTGCTTGTTTGCACACCCAAAATGCTCTGCGCATTTTTTTGCGCCCTAGCGGGGCCTGGGGATAAGGTAGAGATGTCTTAATGGTTGTCGCACATGGTTTTAAAAGTTATACGTTGACAACAAACCACACAGCTATTTTTAACGGTTTCGTTTCTTATATTTTGTCTAGTACAAGAGCCAACATAGTTTGACTTAGTATTAATTTAAGTGATACATCATGCAACAGCGCAGGTATTGCTCTCTAAATTACCGACAACTTTTTATCGGTAGCCATAACTTATTTCACTGGGGAAATATCATTGGGAACACCACATTAAAAGTAAAAGTAAAATACCTTATCTAATGACGATTATTTCACCGAAATGAGTTTATTCTTCTATATGAAAGTCACGCAAAGACGAAATCTGTTCATGTTTGGGATGTCGAGTTGTACTGAACCAGATCGGAGATAGTTTTAAGGCTAGAGAAGACTAGACCACATGACGGTCAAAAAGGACCATATCGTCTCGTGTCTTGCATCACTTGCAGCAAAGGGAAATTAAACTGGCCGCTATTAATTGCTATAGAGTCCAGACAGCGACGCGAGTAAGTTTTCCAGGAAACTGTCCATTTGTCCTAGTTAGATATTTCTAGCTTAAAGGCAGTCGACAAATTTGCGTAATTTTCCTTATCATAAAATAATTTACGAATCAAATTAAATTTTGTTAAACACTTAAGAATAAAGGTAAGCGAAAAAAAGTTGAACACAACGTTTCGATGTCACAATGACATCATTATCAAGTGACAAAGATAAAAACTAAAAACTGACCTAATATATATACGGTTTAAAGTGACAAAATAAATTGGAGAGCAAAAGTAACATGTTTGCACGTGTAGATGAAAATATGTTACAAACAGATTGCTATGATGGAATCTGATTGCGTGTTTAAGCTTGGTTTCTTCTCTTTAATAAAAAGCAGTTCGTAAATCAGACAGTCTAATTTTCCATTGCACTTCTTGAGTAGCAACCAGGGCAGCAACTTTTCTATCCGTACTCAAGAAGGTGACATCGAAACTGTTGTGTTGAACTTTTTTCGCTTATCTTTATTCTGAAGTGTTTGATAGAATAATTTGAGTTGATTTATATTTTGGACAACGAAGTTCTTCAAATAGTCATCACGTACTTCTTGATAATGTTAAAGCTTCCATAAACTACAGCTTGCTACGGCAAGGTTTACGGAGCAACAATTTATAAGTAAAACTTACTCGACGGCAGTTATTTGAACCTGTTCTGTAGTAACGGTTGTACTTAGGAAAGTACGTATTAATTTTGTCTTCAAAAGTTATTAACCTGTGAAAAATAGATCTTTAAGAGCCTTCATGCACACTAAGTTTTGTGCCTTATCTAACTTGTCTAGAAAAGAAAATTCTGCAACAACGAACTGTTCTGACTTGAAAGTTCAGGCAACATAAACTTTGGACGAGTTTAATCGTACTTTTGGGTAGAGACTCGTTTGACTCTCGTTAACAAGTTAAATCTTTCGTTAATGGAATTAAACAGGTATTAAAAAGTTTTCTTAGACCAAAACGCATCTTGCAATTGTTTTCCTTTACACGGCAAACTGCCCAGACATTGCCCGTAGTTTGAAAGTTTATTTTTCCGAAAATTTCAGTTCAGTCCGTGAACCCTTGCTTTAGTGGTTGTAAACACTCGCGACGAGTTTTAAAAAATGCATTCGCAAAAAAGAAAAGAACTTCCAATATTGATTAACTTAGTTTTTAAATTACGAGTTTAAAACAAATGATCGACAACAATGACAGCAAGGCTTGTAGGATCCGTGGTCGTCTAACAGTACATGGACACCTGGATGAACTAGAAAATAACAACAGTCGTAAGAAACAAAACTGATCGGGGAATTCTCTAGTCAGAAGTCAGGGCTAGATGTAAGGAAGACGACCCGATGGTCCACAGTCGCTGTTAGCTCACGGGACTAGCCTACGCAGAAGTCGTTACCGTTTCTTTTTAGCCGAGTAGAAGCACACGAGACGAGCGAGGGCGAGGGCATGCTGCTATTTTTTAGCTCTTCCTCGCGCGTCTCCCAGGCTTCTTCCACTTGGCTAGAAGGAAACAACCAGACTACTCTCAGAACAAACTCGGACAAACTAAAAGTCTGACCGAAGGACGAGGAAACAGCTAACTCATCAACATTTCCAATGTGATCAGAAGTTTACGAAGAAAGAACAGGACTGTAAAAGCTTGCCAAGGTTACAGTGACAAAGACGATACTTACTTCATCGTACTGAAAAGTCGCCATTCCGTTCTGGGCAGTGTCGCGTCTTCTAAATTGATCTGACGAGAAACGTCAAGGCAAAACTATGGTAAGAGTTTTATCTACAGAGAAACAACTTTAATTTTACAGAGGTGATTTACTTTTAGACAACCTCTGAATAAAACGGACTACGGAAGTATGGCTGAAAGGAAGCGATCCTATGAGATCTTTGCGCTAAGGCCGGTAGGACACGAATGACGACAAACAAATAAAATAAGTCAATAAGTAAATAAAAATAAATAAATAAATACATAAAAACAGGAACGGAGGGGTGGAAAACTAACGCTTGAAGCAAAACACCGCGTTTTCTTATCTTCTCCCTCCCATCCCCACTTCTTCAGTTGTACTTTTAATAGCTTACCCAGTAACGTTTGATGTTTGATACATAAGCGAGCCAGCGCACAGACGGTTGGGGAATTTATCTTAAGTCATTTACCCAGTCGCACTTCTTATCATCATTTTCCTTTTAGAAGTTCATATTAAATCAGGGAGCTTTAGCAACGACAACGGGCACGGAAACGAGAACCTCAAAAAAGCAATAAGTTTAATTAGCTAAACAACAGCTTTGCACGTGCATCACGCTTTTTTGTACTTTTCTTTACCATCCCTGCACAACTACGACATGAAATGGCCAAATTTTACGTTCATTTGAGAAAGGGAACGGCAACGCTATAAATTCTAGCATCTCTGTCTGAACTCGGGGGCGGTCCCCTCTCTTCAGCTCTAACATAAATTCCCTTCTTTTCAGTATCTGGGCGACTTGGTATAATCGAGAAAAAGTTAAATGAGCGAAGTCAATTTTTCAACGATGTTTTTATGGACGTCGCCGTTGTCGGATCGTAAGGCCCCTTTTGAGTCCGACTAGACTTGCTACAAGTCGACCTAACGAGTTTCACACCTGAAAAGCTGTAAAGCAAGCGAAAGAAGGTTTTTAGGCAGCGTAGCGGCCGAGCGTGCACCTGTGTCGCGACAGGTCCCAAGGGCCATCCTACAAACTACGAAAGTGAAGAGTCCGAGGAGCTGATCACTCAGCCAGGCATTTTTTGTCTGCACATACCTGTTAAGGACTTTAGACGCACACAGCAGGCCACGAAATCGTCAAAGGTGATTCGGTTATCGGTAGAATATCGCTTGACAATGATGTTCAAGGCGTTAGGGCTCAAACGATAACCTGACGAAGACAAATAAGAATCCTACAATTTATTACACAAAGGTGCGGTGCTCATGTTTCAAGTGTTAGCAAAAGAAAGGTTTCACTTGAACTTAAGTGATCTTTGAGGTTCTCTTTTTGAAGAGAGCAGTTAGCTTTCAAGAACGCATGCACAGAAAACAGAAGCCCCTGTGATTCATTATGCGGCTTTATCAAAAAATCGCACCAACAGAAAAGAAATAAACCTCAGCTGAAACCTTGCTACTCGACGTTAACCTTAATTATTTTTGATTGACTGTTGGAGTTAAGAGTTAATTTGGTACATATAAAGTGTAAAAGGCACTCAGGACCTTACCAAAGGCAGACAGAGCAGCATGAAGTTCATGTGGTTCCACAGTTCCTGATCTGTCACGGTCATACTGCATAAATGTAGTCTACGAAAACAATACATTTATTATTTACAAATAAATTGCTAAAAAAGCCCACAACACGTCAAAGTCACTACCACCAACACCACCACCTGTTGTGCTAAGGTTATGTTCATACCACAGCAGATAGCTTTTGATGCCAACACTAAAAGTTATCTGGTCAACACCCATCTGATATGTGACTCCCCAATCTAGAGATCGGCGCGGAACAGCTTCACCCTCTTACAGAAATCGCGCCAAAGTCACAATTATTCTTATTTATGAAAAGAACTTGCCCTATCTGGTTTGGTGTTCGTGCCGGCGGTGCAAAAGATACCCGGTTTAGTGTGAACATAGTTCCCAGGCGCATATTTTGAAAAAATGCAGTAATAATCTGTGTTAAGGTAGTCTGCTACACAGCCTTTTTCAGGGTCGTCACGCAATGCTCCTCTCCACAAGTGGGGAGGAGCGTTGCGTGACGACGCTAAAAACGGCTGTGTAGCAGACTAGTGTTAAGGTTACCTTCCACTGATTCAGTGCTGCCCACAATTCCTTGAATTCACTGAAACCCATTTTGCCGCTGAAGTCTCGCTACTCAGTTGTTAAGAAAGGCATGTTATATTGTATACAAAATATGAAATATAGTACTGATGTTATACCCCCACAATATACATTTATGTATTGATGTGAAAACTAAAAAAGAATGGCAGGAAAAAAAGAGGTCAACTTGACCACTGGAAAGCTTTCTTTCTTTTCATTTAGATCATTGGCATGAGTGGTTTCACACTGGTTTCATACGAACTAAATTCCCATATTTTTACATTTCTTTTTTTTGATGTTGTGTTTGTTTGCTTTTTTATCAATTTTGTTTTGTTTTGTGTCACATTTTTTGGTTTTAAATAAAAGTACCAGTTCCCCCTCTTTGTTAAACAACTAGTAAGGCATTTACATGTATTCAAGCAAAGACAATATTTATCCTGATGACAAAATAATTATTATGCTTAAATGAAGTATGAAATGCCATCCATCACTTCGCCCCACCCCACAATTGGCAGCAAGGAGAAGAGACAGATGATGACATTTAAGACGAGCTTGCATGGTGTATACAGAAATTTAATTTAGCTGATTCAAGGATACATCTAACATGGTGATCATTAACCTGCCAAAAGTAAAATGAAATAAAGAATACAATCAACAAAATAATTACCCTAAACATCCAAAGTAAAGACCAGATTTGATCATTAAAGTAAGATTATTCTTTGTAGTCTATCACCAAAAATACAGTAATGAGAAAGCACGTATCTAGAGCTGTTGTCTAGAAGATAATAAAAGTCATAATTTATTGCTCACAAGAATTATTAATGTGGCGTAAACACATGTACATTGTATAGTGAATGCAGTAATCAGTTGGCCATGTAAGGACCTCATAAGTGGAGCTGGGGTTTGAAGGATGGGCAATGCAATTGCTGACGGTTAGCAGCATTCTTGGAAATAAGCTGAAAACAAACGATTTTTTAAGAATAATCAAATCATCAAACATGACATTGTTGCACTAGTTGAAACATATGTAACTTCTGCAACTGATCTGAATGTAAGCAACTTCAAAACATAATCAAAACTTTCATCATTTCATCTTCACTTTCCTGGGGGTTTTTACGAACCAGTTGGCTTGTTAGCTCATTTGGTGGAGTGCTGCACCGGTATTACAAAGGTCAAGGGTTTGAATCCCAGCAAACCTGAATTCTTTCAGGCTTTCTTTTTGCAACTGCATAAGTTACATCTTTACCTGCAATAATATTCATTGCATTTATTTCAGAACATTCTGTTAAGTGCTGTCGTACAAAGATCATACAAACCTGCAAGTCTCCAAGCTGAATGCTGAGAAATCAAACAACATAAAAAGGAAGAAAAATAGCCATGATTATCACTAATATGGAAAACCAACAACAATACAGTGTGCCTGTACATGGATCACTAGTCTTGATCTATTCAAGGAACTCATTAAAGTATCTGGGTTTAGACATACAGGGCCCAGTTGTTCGAAGGCCGATCATCACTAACCTGGACTTAAACTTTACTTTGGGTTTCTTTTTCTTTTGTTGAAAAGCATATATCTTCCTAGTCAGATAGTTTTTCCAATTCTTTTTAGAGTATCCAATCATCAAATTGTAGACAGGAAGAATTAATTATAAAACTAAATATTGCTTTCTAACCTTTCATATCTGAATTCAAATTTGGCACTAACACTGGGCTATCTTAACCCAGCTTTAAAAAACCTGGCCCAGGAGTAATGCAATCCAGTGCAAATGGCAATATTGACATATCCTAATAGCTAGACTAAACCAAGGACACTCCAACTCTTCATAAAGTAAAACAAAATCAACTACATTTTGGCAAACCTCTTTGTTTGTTTGTTTGTTTTTTTTTTTTAAGAAAAAAAAATCCAGCACTTTTCTACTGAGGTTAGCCTGTGTTTTTTTTTAAGAAAAAAAAATGGAGCATTCTTAAACTGAGGTTAGCCTGCAAATGCAGTTGTACAAATGTATTCCAGGCGATCACTTCCCTCCACCAGTCTTTTCTGAGGTTCTGTGTGGGCCCCTCTTTCAAATTAACACATTATAAAATAAATAGAAAGAGTATTGATAGGTATATTTCTAACAACATTGTTGAGACTAGAAAAATTATTATTTAATTATAGTGGTTCATGTAATATAGGGCACATTTTTACCGGTATATATCATATTAATTTTTATCTCTGCATAATAACTAAAAATAATAATATTATGTCTAATCTCCAGCTCTGCTTTTCCCATTTCTGTGCCTGGCTCAAAAAGGAACAAACCTGGCCACATTTTTGCCAATATCTGCTTGCGTGTGGCCAAGACTCAACAGAAATAAATATTATCAAACAAAATCAATGCATGAAATCCATAAAATCATACTTACGATGGTAACTTCCGGAAATTCCTGAGCTTGTTAAACAGCCCTGCAGTTCTTTGGCATCAATTTGCTGATCCTTTACATAATAATGTAATTTAAGTAATGTACATGTATATGCATAATTATTAAGTTTCGAACAATCAAAGGAAAAATTAGGGGGATGTACAGTCAGGACTACTCTATACTTGTATGACAAATAGGGAAGTGGGGATACAAAGATTTTATTAATGTTACTTTACATGCGTGCATGTTTTGAGTTCTTGGGGCAAATATACAGTTGACTCCTGATAACTCAAACCCTTGTTAAATCAAACCTTGTGCTGACTTGAACCAAAGTCGATTTCCCCTGGATTTTCTTCACACATTAACTGCAATTAAATTATTCCCAGTAACTCGAACCCTCGATAACTTGAACCTCCTTGTATTTTAAAGTAATTTTTGTTTCCCCTTCAGATCATTAATTTGTATACAATTTTACCCTTGATAACTCGAACCATTAATTATAAGTGTGTGACAAGTTGGGAAAAAAACCATGTACTGAAGTCCGGAACATTGAATTTCTTTCAAAACAACTGTGTCAATTCTTTGTCTTTACTTTTTTGTCACTCCAGTTCAAATTCAGTGTCCATCCCTGTATACTTTGTTGCTTACCTCCCCATCCATTTGCTTATTTCCGCACTTCTCGTTATTTGCTTCAACCTCCCGATAACTTGAACTTTTTCTGATTTCCCTACAAGGCTCGAGTTATCAGGAGTCGACTGTAGCTCAGTGATAGCGGAACTAAAGTAACCAGAAAGTCACAGCTTTGACACCTCAGATTGTTTCTTCTGAGTTGTCTGTGTTATAGCCTGTGAGCAAGCTCTCCGGGGTGCTCTGGCAGCATGGTGGGAAAAGGAAAAGAAAGGAGAGCTTGCAACTACATCTCTGGAATTAGAATATCTGCTTTGAAAAAGTCGATGCGAAATGCTGATTGGGAGAGATGACATTAGTAATGACGTCATTACCTTTGGCACATGTTTTTCAATGTTTGTTTACATTCGCGCTCATTTCCACTTCGCGCTGTTTGGCAGAAATCTGATAGCTCAGTCGATGGGGAGCCACAGGGGAATTGAAGGTGGAATTCAAATTCCAGAAATGTAGTTGCAAGCTCTCCTTCCTTTTCCCACCCTACTGCCAGAGCACCCCAGAGAGCTTGCTCGCAGGCTACCTGTGTTACTGACTGAAACACAAGACTCTTCATATTATACAGGTATTTACCAGGCTTAAAATTCAACACCATATTAAATTCACTAATTTAATTATATCACAAAAGGGTCTTAATTAATAAATTATATTAAATATATTAATCAAAACTTTCAATGTTCTGTGCTTAAGAAGACAGTACTATACACGTAGGTCACCTGCAACTATTCAAACCTTAATTTCATTTTGAACTACAGCATAAAGTGTTAAAAACAGCCATGAATTATTTTAATAATATCATTGCTTACCGGTCCTGCAACAGCAGCAAAGTAGCCATAAAGAGGATCTTGCTGCATTGCACCGGGGTAGCCACCTGGGAAACCTGGATAGCCCTGTTAAAAGTGAAACAATAGTAATAAACCCTTAATGACTGGTCCTGAGGGAATTAAATTAATTTTGTTTCCTGAGAATCTCAATGTTTCCGGAGAGGGAGCCCAGGGAAACATTGAGATTCAAGGGAAGTAAAATTAACTGTTTCCGAAGGGACCAGTCTCTAAGTGATTTGTTATATACTGTAGCTGCTGGAAATTTTAAAGCTGGGAATTCATTAAACTTGCTGTAACGGCGGTTATCCATCAACTTTCACGTGTAACACTGCACATAGATAGATTTTGCAATGTTGCCTCAGCTCAGAGATTTTGGCAGTAAACAGTTTCATTGTTAAATGTCATGTAACCTTGAAGTAACCAATGAAAGCATGTGCTGAATTGGGAAAAAATTTCCAGCTATACAACAAATAATATTGTTGAAAGTATGCCCATTGGTAAATCTCACTGAAATAAAGCAATGTATGATTGCTGTATAAGACAACCATCTTTTGAGTGTGTACAGTTTCAGATTAAGAACTTGTATTAAGCAGACCCCCTATTAAAGGCACATCCTGCCAATAGCAAGAAAGAGCATGAATGAGTCCCAAGCTTTACTCTCCATACTTTAACAATTAAGACAACAAGCCATGAATTTGACAACAGCTTTCAAACGCTGATGCAGACAATGTCCACATTTAAAAAATATAATAAAAAAAGTAAAAGTTTATAGTTTCCAGTAAAATGGTTGGAACCTTCATAACTTGTTAGATGTATTTGCAGTTTAATCAGAGTTTATACACTACATTGCTTGGACATGAGACAAAGCAATCCAAACTGTGAACATTTTGGTTGCCAAGGCTAGCAAGAGAAAGTTTACTTCTTTTAGCGATTAAAAGTGCAGTGACCATAAATTACAGTAGAAGGTCTCCTGAGCAGACACCTCAGGATGCAAAAGAAAGTGTCCATCACTGGATCTGGCTGCTTACGGAAATGTAAAAATACAGAGTTTGTATGAGAGTTGAGAAACACAGCATTTGGTGAAGGCAGCCGTTAGTCCTGTCCATTAACAAGAGTGTCTGTTAGGAAAGCCTCCACTGTATTTATAATCAGGACTAGCAACTTCATCTCATTAGGTCTACTAAGTTCAGGAGCCTGTGATATCCAGGGGCATCTACTTCTGGAAGCAAAGCCCTAGACTGAATAATGCCCCACCCATGGCTGGCATGACTGTGCGACACAACTGTATCCCACCAAAACAGAAAAAAAATAGCTTTCTAAAGAAAAAACGTATAATTTACAGTTTTTGTTATGTCTCTTGTGCATTTGCCATTTTGTTGGCTTGCTTTATCCTATAAGTATAAAAGGTAACCCGTTTTGTCGAAGAACATAGAGTGTGATTTCTTGCATCAGAGAAAAAATTTTCAATGTACAAGGTGACATTTATATGACCAAACAAGTTACACTTCATGTTAACGTCATATAGCATGCTGATGACAAGCATCAAAGAAAATGAAGCATAATCTTCCTGCATCAAGAAAAATATTTTTTTCAACAGAACTGCATGGCTGTGCTTGTTTTTCTGAAGCAACAGGTAACACTTCACCTACATTTTATGTAGCATGCCAATGGCCACAATATAATCCCTTTCTTGAAAAATTTCTTTCCATTTGCAAAAAAAAAAATGATGTAATGATAAGCGACAACTAGAGCATAATGTGTGGTTCCAGAAAATATCCATACCCCATCACAGAGGGAATTGAAAATTCCAAAGGGGTGGGGGGGTCAGAGGCTCAGGAAATTCCAGAGGGAAGGGGGTTGGACGATAAAAATCACTTTTCAAGGGGTTAATTTCGAACTCAGTAAGAAAACTGCTGCTTACTGGTTAGATCATTTTGGAAGAGATAAATAAGTTTTTCATCTAAACCAGGTTTTCTTTCTTCCAAAAATTATGTAATGATGAGAAACCAACGGAATTAAACCCCTGTAAGGCCAACAAGAACTTGACTTGTCGCGTGCATCATATTGACCGCCATTACTCATTACCAGTCTCCGCAGAACAGGCCTACTGTGATGTAATATTTTTGATACAAAAACCACTGGTGACTAGATGCATGTCTTCAAATCTACAAGTTCCATCAGTCGATCAAGAGACAGTACAACAGTGAAAGTTTCTCTTCAAGAAGCAGAAGGTATACAATGTAATGATTTCAGAATCTAGAGTTTTTATACTCCTTTTCATTTTTCCTTAATTTTGTGGTTGAAAGTTTGACATGTTCGCGATTTATTCACGCTGAATAATTCCATCAACATTAAAGCCATGGAGACGGCTACCTGCCATATGGAAAAATAAATTGTAAGCCTGCACATCAAGGTAAACTGACGGAACTTTCACCTCTATCTTTTTCATTTAAAGGGATAAGCAATATTTTGTAGTTTAGGTTGCTTTGTAGGTAGTTTACTGTGTTCTAATTCGAGACCACTCAATAAAATTAAATGAAACCATTGCTTAACTGCAAACAGCATCATTCAATCTTTACTTTGTGAAAATAAACTTTTCCACAGGGGTTGGGGGGTCTTTGTCTTACTTTGTGGAAATTCCGGAGGGGAGGGGGTGGGGGGTCATCAGTTCCTTACAAATATGGAAAATCCAGGGATGTGGGGGGTCCTAAGTGAAATTCCCCCCGTGGTGGGGTATGGGTATTTTCTGGAACCAAGCAAGACCCTCATTGTTTGTAAGCTGAATCAAAAATATTTTTGTATCTGGCATTCACAATACATCAATCTTGCTTTTCTTACTTACAGAAATATGAATACAATATGACTGCATAGTGTTTTTACTTTTAACAGTTTCTATGGAAACTGTAAACACAAAAACAGGTAACAGTCATAATCAAGGTTCTCCAGAAGCTCCTGTAGCTGATAAAAATCATTGCACATTTGCCACAAAAGCACTGGCTACTAACACAAAATAACAAGGCTGGGCTTATGGCAGTGCCTGGTGGTCTGTGGTGCCTAATTTTTGCTTCTGGGCAACTAGAGAACCTGGGCACCCCAGCTGGATTTCACAAGTTCAGAGCACTGGGGTCTCTTCAGTTTTTCTTAGAGCACAGAAGAATCAATCTGCTTATTCAATGTCCTTTGACACAGTTGAAGAGATCTAGGGTACTCAGTCTTTAGAATTCAGTATGTACAGGAAGACAGTGTCCTAACTCAACTACACTCTATGATCTAATATTTTCTGCACATAAGAAATGTTTTCTTTCTGACCATGCATTCGAAAATTTTGATACAGATCGGCTCATTCACTTGTAACGCGAAAAAGACAAATGAGAGATGAAGATATTTTCACTAACTACAAAATGCAGAGTCTATCCTTACTTTGCGAGCTTTCTGATGAACGATCTTTCTTGTTTGTTAGCTTACATTGACTTCAAGCTTATTTATAATTGTACAAAAGTTACGAACTCGATGCTTCCAGGAAAAAAAAACCTTAGAAAATTACTCGCTATCAACAAAGCAAACATATACGCCACTGATGGTCTAGAATTGAATCTAGAAAGCCTTCTGTCATTTTGGATGTTGGCGAAAGGGAGGAAATAAAAGCCTTATATGACCTTTAATGCCGCACATAAGCTTACATTTTTTGTGACGAACCACAATTAATACCAAACGCCTTCCATTTGTGCAAGCCACTGAGGCTTTGATTTGTATGACCAAATATATCTAACTAGCTCCTTACTTACCCCACCATATCCACCAGGAGGTGGAGCCCCAAAGCCTGGATAAGCCATACCTTTACAATGCAAAAGACAACAGGCGGAAATTTCTCTCGATATCAGCTCAAAGCAAAGCAAGACGCTCGTTTTTAGCCAAGTAACCTGGCCTCATGGGAGTTTCGAAACTTCTCCGGGGGCCCAGCCAGCCAGACGAAAACTCATGGGGGCGGGGGGAGGGAGGTACTATTGGGAATTCTGGTTGGTGGGGGCGGGGGGGGGGTGCCGCCTGGTTCTCCAAATCCTGACACTATTTTTCAGACCAAAAAACTTTATTTTTCACACCCGTTTTCAGAGCAGGTCTCTAAGAAATTATGTCACAAGAGAGAGGAAACGTCGCGTTTACGGCAAACGTGAGATTAGCCTAGCAAGTGCCAGGCTGTCAGATAGTATAGTGCAGACGTATTAAAACGAGCAAAGCGGCATTTCTTTTTACTGATCGACTTTTCACCACTATCTCGGAGCCTGGAACAGGCTAACGTGAGATTTAAGTTGAGCTCCTGAGTTAAGAAATTTTCAAAATGAGAAATGAGCAGACAAAACCAGCTCAAGACAATTTTTATGGATAGAATTGGCGTGAATCTACCGATTTTCGTGTAGTTATGTAATGAACAGTAAACAAATTTACAATTACTTCGATTAGAACGCCAACATAAACTGATTTATTAAAATCCATTTCATGGAATTCGCATTTGCAGTAGTCTCATTCGCAGCCGTTATTAGGGTCGTCACTCGTCACGCACTACATATGCAGTGGCATATTTCTTCTTTCTTTCTCATTCATTTGGATTTTTGGGGTGGTACCTTGAATCCCCTAACCTATACACATACCAGACTATGTTCAGCTACGATTTTTCTACCCCTCACCCGCAAAACTCGTTAACAGATGCTCCATAGTGATCAACCTGCGTAGCAGGCGCTTGGAAGAAGTGGGTGAAAGAGAGAACGGGCGCGCGCGAGGGAGACACGCGTGTCTCCTCTTCGCGCGCACGTTTTTTCTTGTTCCCACTACTTCCAAGCGCCTGCTACGTAGGCTACATAATGATAGCCTCCCAGCGCAGATGCACCTAGGGGTTTATAAGTGAGTGCTCCACCGATCTGCTAAGCTCTGCTAAACTAACCCGCGATCAGGCGGTCCTTTTTTCTTTTCTGGCCATCCGCCGACTTTCGCACTCCCCAGAACGTCTGATCGCAGGCGGTTATGGGCTCCTGTCGCGGGTTGTTACTCCTAAACTGGCCTCTGACACAACCTTCTATCACGCGTTTTTTTTTTCGCCTCCCCCCAAAAAAGGAAAGAAGGACCACCTGATCGCAGGCTACCTCTGACATTACAGGATACGTGGTGTATATAGCATGTGCGGCTAGTTTACAAGTAAGCGAGGTGACTGAGAAAGATTGAATGAATATCCCGGGAGGACTAATTTGGGAAGTTAGGAAAGTAAACTCCAAATCTGGGCGTGGCTGATTTGACCCCGTCGGTGAAAGGAGACATGACAAAGCTAATTTTACGTGCTTCGCAGACATTCTAAACCTTCTGCGCAACCTAATTCGCAGACGGACTAACGTGTGGCTAGCCTGTTCCAGGCGTTCAGATAGTAGAGCGCGGGAGAAAAATTCGGGAAGAAAAAAAACGAGGGGAGACTAGAGGGAAAGCAGGAGGGAACCCTAACCCTAACTCGCCCCCCTCGTTCCCCCCTCCCCGTTTTCCTGGTGTATAATTTAACTCGCTTCCCACTGACCGACGCGCTCTGCTATCTGAACGCCTGCGAACAGACTACCGTGTGGCATGAAGTTTTTGCGGGTTCTAATTTTTGCGATTTTTCCAGTGACCCGCAAAAATAAAGCCTGTTTCAAACGTCGTGCTACTGCTGTTCTAAGCTGGCTCAACTTCAGCACGAATCTAACACGACTGTAGCCTGACTTGTTTTCAGACGTAGCGAATTTAACTCAGTCGAATAAAATAGCTGTTGCGCAAAACAAAACTAAAAAATAAAAAGCGGTTTAGTAAACTGTTAAAATGTATTCTAATGTGTTTATAATTTATGAATTAAGTTCAGCACGGCATGCAGTAGCGCGACGTTTGAAACCAAGTCGAGGTATTGACGTGTACAGGGGCTCCTGCGTGTAGCAGTAAGCATAGTTGCATCCTGGGGGGGGGGCACCCGCATATGAAGCTGGTACGGATGCTCGTCTTTTCGCTTAGGGTTGTAAATTTCGGATTTTGGTCTCACTTAGGGTGGTCTGGGCAAAACGCCATCATATTTAGCCGTGAAGGTCTCGTTTAGGGTTGCACGCGAAAAAATATAAAAACATGATTTGATATGTATATTTTTAATTCGTTTTATTAACTCCATTCATATAATCCAAGTTTTCTATAACATCAATACCTAAAGAAGACGTCTTTGTCCATTGTTTTCATTTGTCTGTGTTTTAACGTGCTCTCTTTTAGGGGTCAAAAAAAGCGTGGGCCACACCCAGATCGGTCTCTTTTAGGGGTTTAATTCAAAATTTCCGACGAGCATCCGTACCATCTTCATATGCGGAGTCCCCCCCCCCCGGGAGTTGCATGCCAAACAATTTACAAACAATTTACAAACAATTTACGTGGGAAAGTGACTCTACACCAAAATTCAAAGCAGCTCTTCAATCTCCAAATTTGCAAATGATAATTCACGAATATTTAAATGACATCAATTCAGCTAAAAATGTTAACACCTCGGCGGAACAGGTAGAAAATATTCTTATCACAACGGCAAAACGATGCCTTAAGATAAGAACGACGAGACGACGTAAACGCACCTATTCACGCTCAAATAAAAAATGGTTTGATAAGGAATGTCGCTTAAAAAGACACGAATTAAGGAAATTGTCAAATGAAAAACACAGAGATCCCTTAAATACCACTCTACGTGAAAAATATCATATTGTTTTACAGCAGTATAAGAAACTACTCGCACATAAAAGAAATGAATATTACAACAATAAACTCTCAGAATTAGAGGATACAACGTACAATTTGGATACTAAAAAATTTTGGAATTGCTTAAAATCAATGGATGACACTATAAAATACAAAGACACTCCACCAATTGCAGAAGAGAATTGGATGAATTATTTCCAGTGTCTACATTCTAATAAGCCACTTACTTCTGAGCAACAGAAAGTTGTCAATGAGTTAAGAACACGAGAAGACGTCTTAATGCAATCACGACCTCTAGATTACTTCATAACAGAAGCTGAAATAAGCAAGGCAGCAAGAAAATTAAAGAATAACAAATCTGCATACTCCGACAAAATAAGAAACGAAATGATTAAAGCTAGCTTACCAACACTGCTACCTGTTTACCATAAACTTTTTAATACTGTTCTTAACTTAGGAACAGTGCCTAAAAATTGGTGCAACGGTCTTGTAACTCCCATATTTAAATCTGGCATAAGAAATGACCCATCAAATTACCGCGGGATTTGTGTTTCTAGTTGTCTAGGAAAGTTGTTCTTTTCAATTTTAAACCAAAGACTTCTTGAACACGTCACTTCGCTGAACATACTCCATAAGTCTCAAATCGGCTTCTTACCTAAAAATCGAACATCAGACCACCTCCTAACATTACGAACTCTTATAGACAAGTACGTACACTGTCACGGTGAGAAAGTATACGCTTGTTTTGTTGACTTTAGAAAAGCCTTTGACTCAGTCTGGCATGACGGACTTTTATATAAATTATTACAAATTGGTGTAGGGGGATGTTTCTATAAGTTAATCCAAAACCTATATTCAAACTCATTCGTGTGCATTGAAAATAGGTACGAGTCAAACAAAATCTTTTAGCTTCTCACGGGGCGTACGCCAGGGCTGTATTTTAAGCCCCTTAATTTTCAATTTATACGTTAATAACTTACCGTCCGCATTTCAAAATACTTTATCAGACCCTATCATCCTTCCAAATGGTACCAAATTAAATTCGCTTTTATATGCTGATGATTTAATTATTATATCACGATCTAAAATCGGATTGCAGAACTGTCTCAACACATTATCCTCTTTTTGCAACTCTTGGATGTTAGATATAAATTCCAAAAAGACCAAAGTTATGGTCTTTCAAAAACGAGCGAAGAAAAACTCCAATCTAGAATTCCATATAGGTAAAGAAACCATTGATACTGTCCATGAATATACATATTTAGGAACCCGTATCTCCTCAACCGGTAATTTTAACATCTCCCTCGAACACCTGAAGGAGAAGGCTCTTCATGCTCTTTTTAGTTTAAGAAAACACACAAACTTTAGCAAATTAAAACCTTCTCTTGCTTGCAAAATATTTGAAACGATGATTTCCCCGATATTATCATATAATAGCGAAATTTGGGGTGTATATGTAAAACATGATTTTAAAGCTTGGGACAATACCCCAATTGAAAAAACCCACTTGAAATTTTGCAAGCGTTACCTAGAAATAAGCAATAAAGCTTCAAATGTTGCAAGTAGAAGTGAATTGGGACGGTTCCCATTAATTATTAATATTCATAAAAACATCCTTTATTACATATTGTATCTTCAGCGTAAAAACGAGGATACTATTGTTAAACAAGCCTTTCGTACTTCGCTAGAACTTCACTGTAATGGTAAAAATAGCTTTTACAATAATCTTATGAAAATATCTGAATATTATGACCTCCCTGATTTTGATCCTAATAATTTAAGTGAAGCTAAGATCAAACACTATATAGATATAATAAAACAAAAATATATTGCATATTGGCAACATACAATCCATCATTCTAAGAAACTACAATTTTACAGCTTATTTAAACATGATTATAAAATTTCAAGTTATCTAGACTTAATTAGAAATTCTGCGAATAGGAAAGATTTAGTGAAAATTCGTATAAGTAACCACAAACTCATGATTGAAACTGGAAGATATAATCAAACTTCCCGCAACGATAGACTCTGTCCTATTTGTAACTCTGGTATAATTGAAGACGAATTTCATTTTCTCTTCCATTGTCCAAAATACTCAATCCCAAGGGAGAAATTCTACGATCAAATCCAACAAAATTTTGTCGATTTTGATCAGCTATCTTACACAGAATTAATAATTAAATTGATGAATTCACAGAATTTTTCCGTAAATTCACAGTTGTTGAAATTTGTCTCATTATGTAATGATTTACGTAATAATTTGTTATCAAGTCATGCTGATGACACTTGATTGACTACAGTCATCATTGCATTATCATTGTTATGATTTGTTTGTTTGTTTGTTTGTTTGTTTTTATATTAAAGCTTTTGCAATACTGTAACTACATAATTATAGTCATGCAAATAAAGCTTATGTTGTTGTTGTTGTTGTTGTTGCATGCCTGCGTGCACACGTCTCCTGTTTCCTTTGTTTTCCTCATTTTTCCGCGTGCAAGAAAGGTCTGCACGCAGGCAATAACACGACTTGGTTTCAAACATCGCGCTACTGCCGTACTAACGTCGAATTTAAATTCGATCAACTTATTTTTCGGCACGGCAGTAGCACGACGTTTGAAACGGGCCTAAGTTCCCGCAAAAGTTTACTCCAGAGTAAATATTCTCTAACTTAAATTCGTTACACAATTAAAGATACAGAAGTAAAAAATCGTGTCTGTTCAATTACAACAAGCCTCCCACGCAGACGTTATTAGGGGTTCGTCACGCGTTTCTGGGAACGCGTGACGAACCCCTAAGAAAGTTTGCGTAGGAGGCTAAATTACAACTTGCCTCTTTTATTTAGAAACAAAACGGTATACAATTAATTACTAGTTTTTCATAGGCTACGTGTACCGTAGTACTGTTTGAAAATATGTATTTCTATCGCACGTATTTAACAAAAACGACAATATTATCAATGCTGGGTATAGGGTACTTTCTGAAATAGCAAAATTAGTTTCCAGCGAGAAAAACTAATCCGTACCTAATCGTAAAAATTAGTTCCCGAAAAACAAAACTATGGAAAATGACCTATCAGCAATGATAAACTCCCGCAAAAATTTCTTGCCACACACCAGTATACTATGGTTCTGATTTCTATGGTTTAGTTAATGCGTTCGTTGTGACTATATATAATCCCGGTATGACCAATCGATAAAAACCGATATCGGAAAACCGTTCGATAAATCGATATCAATCGATAATTTTTAATTAATCGATATCGATTTTATCGATCAATCGATAGAAATCGATACTCACAGTCTTCCGCGTATTTAACGATATCGATTTTATCGAGTAATCGATGTTAACGGAGTATCAAAAACCATACAAAATAAAACTGCTTCTATGTGGACAGCGTTTTAATTTAATATAAAACAATGAACAGAAACATTAAGCAACCAAGGATTTATTTCATTCAGTCAACACATTAACTTCATTCTTTGTTTTTTCTTTTGTTTCTTTGGTTCTGGAACCATGTTTTAACCTAAAAGGAAAAAAAAAAAGAAACCAAATTTATATGTTTATTGCATGCAACCGTATCCCGGTTAATCATTTTGACTCTTATATTCCCGGTATATTCTCGCAAGGTCTCTCGATGATTTTACTTTATATCTCCAGGAAAAAGCTATCTTAAATTCACTTACTTGGTGTTGCTCTAAGTCAAAGTTCTCGGCCAACTTTTCCATTAGCTGTGCCGTCGGACGGCCCTTTGTCCTTCCATATGCATGGTTTAGTCCACTCAGCTGAAATTCAGTAAAGTGGACCCTCTTTTTCTTTGCAGCATTCACTTCCTCCTCATCGGAGCTAACAGCTGCTTTTCTCTTTCCTAACAAAGATTTTAGCTCTGATTTGTAGTATGATTTTTGCGGCGGCGAGGGTTTTGCTGACAAAACATTTACTGGAGACAATGTCTAGCATTACAACTACGCAGCTTCGTACTTCGTAGTACATGTATTTGTAGGATGTCATTACGACATTTAGCTTGAACAGTTTCTGAGTAAATACAAAAAGCGGTTATGTTATGTTGCGTTTCCCCGTTGAATCATGCCAGGGAATCGTGTTAATATTATTTGATTATCAGTATTCATTCAATTATCGATTTGTTAAATAAATCTTTAAATTCGTCCTACTTGATTCATTGAATCGTAAGAGTGTTTTTATGGAAGATTTGATACATTTTAGAAATTCGATAAAATCGATAACATTAATTTAAAAATCGATAATTATCGATTACTCACAACGTGTCCTTTTATCGATTTTAATCGATTTCCGATACAATTTACTAATTTTTATCGATTGTTATCGAATGTTATCGATTATCGGTTTTATCGATTGCACATGCCGGGATATAATGGTAATTGAACTGAGTGGAGTGCAATTTGGTCTGAAATCATTCGCGTGATTTAGTTCGATTTAAAATTACAAGTATGATTTCAGACCAAAATTGCACTCCACTCAGTTCAATTACCACTTTATTACACCCCTTCTGAAATCGCAGAATTTAGTCAGTACTAATATTTTATTGATCGAGTAGCCGGTTTGCTAAAAAGCCGAAACAAAAATGCTTTTACATCTCATTTTGTATTCGAAACAGAAATGATGCGATATAGAACAAAAATGGTGCGATTTAAAACAGAAATGATGCGATTTAGAACATGAATGACGCGATTTGGAACAGATGCAATTTAGAGCAAAAAATGGTGCGATTTAGGAATGAATCACACTGCTGAGAGCCAATCAGATTGCACGGATAGCCAGTGATTTCAAAGTGGATGTAATAAAGCCGGTAACTAGTCAAGATTTACAAAACACTAAATGACAGGCAGTCCGATATTTTGATTATAGTGATTGGGGTTAAGCACTGACGATACTGATTAGGGTTAAGCCCTGAGAATAGTGACTAGGGTTAACGGTTAGCGTCTATTTTGGTTTGGGTTTTTGCCATAATATTTGAATAAAATCACCATCTTGCAGTAAAGCCACGGTGGCCTAGTGGTTAGAGTGTACTAGTCAGGGGCACCCAACGACGGTTTCCTTCAAAATACGCGCGTTGAAAGCACTTTTGAGGCTATCCAGAGTACTTTTAGAGCTCTACAAATTAGGGGAACTTAAGTCTTTTCGAAATTACAAGGTCTTTAGTATTTTTCTTCCCAAAATTTTAGGTGTAATTTAACGTTTTACGAAAGTAAAAATTTTTCTGATCCCTCTCTCCATCACATTTTAGAATCCGAAAATTTTAGGTTTCGTTTTTCTACGAAAAATAGTGCAACCTGGGTAGTAAAATATTAAAAATTAAACTTCTGAAAATCGTGGGGAATTTATTAGAAAAACTTGGAAAATTGTACATGAATAGAACCTTCATCTAGAAATTTTTAGCCGTCCTCAAGCAAAAGAAAATTTTAGGCAAAATTTGCTTCTCTGAACAGATATTTTACAGAAAACAGTCGTTGGGTCCCCCTGACTAGTATGCAGACCCTATGCTATGGAATCGAATCCGCTCATATTCGTGAATCAATCATAATGCACGTTCACACGCTTTGTGAATGGTTTAGTTCTTCCGCTTCTGCTTCCGACTCCGACTATATCTGGTTTGCACTAGATCATAAGCGGAACGTTGGCGACGGAGTCGTAAGCGGAATCGGAACGCTGTTTTCACTAGATCATAAGCTCTACGCTTCCGATAACGACTCCGACTCCGTCGATAGTGAAAACCAGCCTTAATGCGTTGGCCGCCTGCAACGCAGGTTATGCTAATGCGGACCAAAATTAAGTAAGATTTTAATTTTCTAAAGATGCTGTCAGGCGATCCGTCTTTACATATGTTCTCATGTAGTTTGATTCTTGAAGGTCGTATGACTGTCACGATGGGTGCCAATCTCAGTCACGCTAGGGTAGCGAATTGTGAAATATCCAACCGCATTGCACAAAGCCAAAGTAAATACAGTAGTTCGAAGGGTGACTTCGCTTAACCTGCGAACAACTGCATGAGAGGAATTGAGACCTTTAAGTGCACATAAGAGAGGATAACTGATAAAGGACTAGTAAGGACAAAAGAATACTTCAGTGTAAGTACTTAAACCTATTGTAGTACAGTCCTAAACCCCGTTAATACAGACACTGTTGGCACCATCGAATTATGTGACGAGGTATTAAAAACAAAAATCACGAAACAAGAATGGCTTCGCAGCTGAGCGGTTTTGGTTTCTTGGGCATAGAGTAAAGTCGGCGCCGTTTCGACCATCCAAACTAAATACCCGGCAGTCTGCTTTATTTCTTGCTTTTACGTTTATTGAACCCATTTTATCCGCTTGGCTACTCTGAGGATCGATGAAATTCCCAAGGCAAACCTTGCCAGTGAGCAACATAGGCAAAAATGTTAGTAATGAAAACTGAGTGACACCCAACCTCTGTTTAAGGAACTCTGTAGTTTCTCGTCACTCACCAATTCTAAACCATGATAGAAAATTTTGAGGAAAATTCGTATAAATTTTGCAAAATTAGGGGAACGTCTTCCCAAGATTTAGTAGCACTACCTGCGGCTCGAGGTTGCGAAACAAAGTTTCAAAACCATTTTGGGAAACTAATCGAGGATAGTATGTATGTATCCTGGACCTGAAGAGAAGGCTTTTTATCTTTCCAGTCCCGCTTTATTATTAATCTGAATGGTTCCCGTCAGTCACGCATTGCTACTCACGAAACAGTGTCGACAGGTGTGTCGAAAAAGCGTCGACTCTTCTATGCCAGCGTTCTTTAAAACTCTCATGGACTGTGTCCGTTAAGTTTCACCAATATATTGCCGAAATATTGCCTTTAAATAAATCAGCCCTTTGCTGTATGACGCCTGCCTTGCATTGAGTTTTGTTCTAATTCCCACGTCAAGTGACGTCTGGCATTTGCATTTCTCGCAAGAAAGAACCAGTCGATTTTAAATACGCTTTGAGTGGAACTCTGCATTCAAAGGTGTTTACTAAATAAATACTGTCGCACAGATCAGTTATCTGTTGAGTTTTCCGACCTAAAAACTGAAAATGAAGGGGGGAAATATAACAAGAATTCAAGGCTTTCAACGCTTTTATAGAAAGGAATTAACCAAATGATATGCGATATAGATATATAGATTTAAATTACCAATACTTTGCAGCCCGAAGGCTGAATTACGTATTTACAAATTATGGAATTGAGAAATTGTGTATATAAAACTAAGTACAGTAAATATAAAAGTATAAAAAATATGATAAAAGGCCGGTTTCGAGGTAAAACCAGGTATTTAGAGAAAAAACTGTAAAAAAGACTGTTAAAATGCAAGGTTTTTACCTAAAAGAGCCCCTTTTTTCTAAAACAAAAAAACAAAAAAAGAAGCAATACTTCTGCAAGCGTGTTACCGTAAAAAGACAGCTTTTTAACGCGGACCGTTTCTTTATGTAACAATGGCCGTTTTTATACTAGAGGACGCATTATCCGTCCAGACGGATAATGCGTCTCTTGTGGTATGCGTCTAGTGTAAAGACGGGACGAATAACAAGACGAACTACGAAAGACGAACGAGATATTCCGCGAGGCGAAAAAAAAAAGAATGGGCACTAGTGTGCCTTGTTTGGCGGTAAAATTTTAAGATGGCGGCCGCGCCTGAACTTCTCAAATTTTTTTCCCGTAAGAGAAAGGCAGAACAAGAGTTTTTAGGTGACCAATATAGGTTAAAGGAAGAAATGGCAAAGAAACGTTTTCGTAGGGAGATGGAGTTCGAAACTGAAGCTTCACAGCCCGCTGTTATGTCAGCAATCGTGATTACAAAAAGCGACAGAAACGAGCGTGGTCCTGATGAGTTGAGGAACGGAAATTGGTGGTCAGACGGATATCAAAACTGGGATGAAGAATCTTTCAAGAAAAGGTTAAGGGTGTCTCGAGACACTTTTGAATTTATTCTAAGCGAAATTAAAGACCTTATCGTGAAGGAGCCCACTCGCATGAAGCCTCACCCTACTCCGCCCGCTACCCAGTTGGCTTTATGTCTATACAGACTAGCACACGGGTGCACGTTTTTGACCGTTGGAGATCTCTTTGGGGTTGCAGAATCAACTGCTCACATCATTTTCCAAGACGTTTGTAAGGCCGTTGTGGGATGTTTGTATGACAGATTCGTTTACCTACCAAGAAATCTACAAGAGTGGAGTCAAGAACTGGAAAATTTTCTGGGAAATTGGGAGTTTCCTTGTGTTGGGGCGTGGGATGAGTTTCAAGTTTACGTAAGCACTAAACTTAAGAACTTTTACAGTTACAAGAAGAGGTATTCAGTTACAAACATGGGATTCATTGGTTATAACAAGCGTTTTATGTGGGCTGCAGTGGGCTCCCCAGGATCCACACATGACTCTAGGCTTTTAAGAAGTTGTGGTATTTATTCTGACATCGAATCTGGTCACGTGCTTCCTAACAGGTCTTTGAATCTTGACCCTCATGGGGAGATTCCGTTTACCACTGTGGGTGATTCAGCCTTTCCCAACCATTCCTGGCTTCTAAAACCATACAAAGATGGGACAAGGGTACCTAAGCAAAGGTATTTTAACAGGAGACTTTGCTCTGCAAGGGTAGTTTCTGAACATGCTTATGGAATGTTAAAGGGGCGGTGGAGAATTCTCTACAAAAAGACAGAATGTCATTTAGACAACATTTCCCTCATCATCATGACCTGCATTGCTCTCCATAATCTTTGCATCCACCGAAGTGATCCCTGTAACCCCAGGTGGAGACTTCAGGTCAATGAACTCAATCTGATTCGAAATGGAGATGCCCAAGCTGATGATGGAAATACAACAAGAGAAGCCGTTGCCAATTGGTTGTGGGATATCAGAGAGGAAAGAAATGCAGCCCCTTGATTTTGTATTCAAATTAATAACAAAGGCAAAAACTGAGAAACTGAACTTTACTTGATCCTTAGGAGATTTGATGGAAAACAGGTTTTGTTGCATGTAAATAGATTCAAATTTGATATTCAAAATATTTTTCAGACATTTTCCCTTCACAATAGATTTAGGAAATAATATTTGTTGATACATTAAGTATGAACCAGAAGTTTTGCTTTCCTTTCATCCATTAGTGTAAAAATTACTGCTATTTCAAGTTATTTTAAGTAATCTGGAAGTAAAATACTCTATGCTAAAGCAACCAAACAACCGGATAAACTGGTAAAAAGGGGGGAGTAGGACAAAAGCATAGGGAGGGGGGTCAGGTTTATTTTTTTATATGAAAGGGGATGGATTATTCTTGAAGGCAGTATAAAATGACATGTATTAAGGCAAAAATAGGAGGACAAACGATCAACAACAACAAAAATGAACATGAAGTTCTTATATCAACTAAACAAAAACAGCACAAAAGAAATACTTAACTGTCATTCTCAAAAACCGAGGTTGGTTAAAAGCTTGAGACTGCTTAACAGTCTGATATGAATTATTGGCTGGAAATACCATGATGAAAGACTTGAACTGGTATTTTTACCTACTTGACATAAGTTTTTACATCATTTCAAGTCTTTCAATGCTATTTTCAACCAATTCATGACAGTCCAAAGCAAAAAAGCCTTGGTTTCAAAGAATAACAAGTATTTTTGCTGCTGTTTTCTTGTTTATTTGTTGTTGGAACTTCTTGTTTACCTCATCCTCATAGAGGGTATACTGGGGCGGGGGGGGAGTCAGCCTAAAAAATAACATTTATTTGAAGGGGTGAGTCAAAAAGTAAATGAAAAATTTTCAGGGGTGGGTCAAGAATAAAACTTATTGCTTAAAAAAAATTCCCTCCCCCACCCTTCACATAAATAATGACCAGTCCCTAACCAATATATCCAATTCTATAGAAGTGTTATAAAGTTGTAGTTCCGTTAAACTTTGTAGCAATGGTTTGTTTCAATTACAGAACAGTAATGATGTTAGTGTCTGGATCACTGGTTACATTTTGGTACCTTTATCACAACTGACAATAAATGGATTACAAGTAAACACAACTGCCTGTAATAACATGTCTGAGGTTTCAAAACGCAAGAGGGAAGCTCATGCCCCCTTAAATTCACAGTATTGCTCAATAAAGGTAAGTGTGATAGAGGACCCTGTCTATAGAAAAGAAAAGTCCACCACCAACTCCTCCATAACCATGAGTCCCCCACCCTTAATGGTAACTCTTGCTAATACCAACGCATGGATCTTTGATCATTCTGGCTATCCATGTCTAAAATGTGGCTATCTTGGCTACCACTTGCCACTTGATTAGTTGGAGGGGTATGGCTATATGGCATTGAATTGTAATAAGGTACAAGCGGCTGCACAGGTATTGTTTGTTGTTGGAGATGCTGCTGTGCTCCTTGGGGTGGAGGATTTGAATATTTCATGATGATTTCAAGCATCTTTAGCTCATGCTGCCTATTCAATTCGGCTTGCTCTTTCTGAAAAGCAAGAAATTCAGCATGCCTTTCTTTGTCTGCTTCCATCATCTTTTCACAACGCTTTTGCTGTGATTCTCCAAGTGCGTGAAAACTCTTTGCGATCTCATTTATGGCCTGGGACTGACTTCTTACTCGTTTTTTACGACCTAATGGTTTTACGTCCAATGAATTTTTTAAAACTTTCCTTTTAACACCTTCGGTTCCACTCTCACTTGCTGAGGTTAACTCTTCCTCACCATCATCTTCCTGATAACTGCTATGACTTGTTTCTAACTGCTCTTCGTCACTGTCTGTGTCTGAATTCTCATGAGACAAAACATCTCTTGCTTTGGAAGCAATTTCCAGGTTACCGTGGGTGTCCGAAAAAATTGGATTTATGATTTTGTACCACTCAGGCTCTTCAATTGGTGACTTACCACTACCTTTCTTGATGCGATCCGTGTATTTACGCCATTGATCTTTTATCCACTTAAATTTCACTCGAAGCTTTTCAACATCAATTCTCAGATGAGTTAAAGCCTTTTTCGATTTAGACTGACGATGTTCTCTGTCATTTTCTTCTTTAAATTCTTCGGAGGATATGCGCTCCTCAAAGGCTTTCTTTATATCCTCGAAGACAGGTTTGTTTGCAGTCTTCTTCAACGCAAGCGTGTCCAGTTTGTAAGCAAACTCGTTTGTTTCGTCTGCAAGAACAAGGGCGAAGTACTTGAGCTCTGTTTCTGTCCATGGTCGACTTCGCTCTTTTGCACTTGACTCCGCCATGTTGTTTTCTTGGGCGGATAACCGCTGGCTTTTTTCCAACACGGTCTCATTTCTTAACGTTATTCGTCCGTTGCCCGTCTTTACACACAAAGACGCATTATGCGTCCAGACGAACTACCTTTCGAAGTGCGTCGTTCAAGACGCATTTCAAATGAAAGTTCGTCTAGACGTATAATGCGTCTTGTGCCCGTCTTTACACTAGAGACGCATAACCGGACGAACTACAAATGTTTGCCCAAGTTCGTCCAGACGGATAATGCGTCTCTAGTATAAAAACGGCCAATGTGACTGTTAAATGAAGTCGCAAACTCTTCTTTATATACCGTAAATGATCGATTAAGCGCCGCGACGCTTATTTCAATTTCCTTGTTTTATTAGGTGCGGCGCTTATGCAAGAGCGGCGTTTATTCGACAGCGGCGCTTATTTAAACTACGGGTAAATCACTGAGGGGAATATAGAGAGAACTAGAGAGGCGCGTACTTGGTATGCACGATTTAATATAAATTATGAACCCGTTTTCAAGAGTTTCCCTACATTAAAACTTTAGAACTCACGAGTTGGTCGAGGTCTTATTTCTCAAGCCATATGATTTTGATATCTCTTTATATCAAGCGCTGTAACAAAATTTAAAGGTGGTGCGTCAATTTGTAAATACCCAAATTAGCGCTGCGACGCTTAGTAAATTATTTTCGGTGAAAGTGCGGCGCTTCTTCAAGTAGCGGCGCTTAATCGATCATTTACGGTAAGTGTAGAGTGAAGACGTTTCGTCAACCGTTTTTGGTCATTTGACTGCTAGCACGGCATGATAAAGAAGCACTAATCTGGAAAAATGCCATGTATTTCTTTATTTTTTTATTTCAGTCTATCTTATCATTTGACAGGACCAGGAGCCTGACAGGACAAATGGCTAAACCGGAGGACAGTGGCCTATATACAGGATCATTACTTACCTTGAATGCCAGCTCATCAGATGAATATGTTAAGGGTATTTATGACGAATGGGCTGAAAAATATGACAAGGTACTGCCGCTGTCAGTGATATTCCACATTTCAGAAACTATAAGGGCAATGGGTAAAATAGACTGCAAAACAGTTCGTATTTTTGCGTATTCAAGTACGCGCGAGCAGTCAAACAAAAGATCTGCAACGAGGCTGAAAACAGAGAGCGAGACTGGGGAGAGACGCTATTTTTTCTCTCGCCTAACACGCCCAACTCGCGCGCTTCCCGCGCGTAAGACTCTTACTCCACGCTTTACCGATTTCTTTACTGGTTTTGAGAAAAAAACCGACTGTTTTGTAGTCTATGGGTACAAGCTTTTGGCGTAGCGATTTCTGGGGTCGTTTGTGTGGACAAACGTTAATTACTTATGATTGGTTAATGGTTGCCTTGAATACCATCGACCGATCATAAGTAACGCTTGTCCAACCAAACGATCTCGGAAGTTACTACTCCCAAAGTTTGTATTCATTCTCCCTATATATAGCCTGTTCCTGGCTCCAGGATAGTCGGGTCCGTTAAATTGAGGAAGCGTGAACACGAAAATATAACCTTTACGCCGACTATTCGCGTGCATTCCCCACTATCTGAGAGCGTGGAACAGGCGATTCTCCCTAGAGTCTGCAGTGGGAAATTAACCGCTGCTTTGAGATCTCCGACAGTAACAAAAACATCTCATTTTGTGCCGATGTATTCCACAAGCTTTCTCTTTCTGTATATTTTCTTTGCTTCGTTCCTCTATTTTGAATTGTTTTATTTTTCAATACACACGTGCATTCAAGTGCACGGGCTAATTTGATCAACTAGAATAGAGAAATAATGAATGATTACAGGGTGTGCTTATGGCTTAGTCAATTCCTAGCGTACCCATCAACTCCCTCGCCCCCCCCCCCCGCTTCCGACAGCTGTTAAGTGTTGTGTTCTCACTGTGAGGCATTTGGCATCAAAGGGGTACCCTGGGGTGAGCAACATGTCATTTTCCACTTTCTAAAAGAACGAGTTGACAATTTCTCTTCAGATTCTTCGCAAAGCTTCGCAAACTGGCTCCCACGGCCTTTTTAACTTGTTCACGGGCCTTTGCAAAATCCGCGAAATTCAGGGAATTAACTCCCACGAAGTTTGATGCCACACGTATCTCTTTTTTCATCAGGTTACAGGAGAGGCTGGTTACGTAGCTTACAAGACATGCACTCCAATCTTTGACCAACTCCTGCGAGACAAATTTGACAGCAAACACTCAGAGCTGCGAATCATTGATGCGGGAGCTGGGACAGGGATTGTGGGAAAGGTCCTACAGGATCTCGGCTACACCAACATCGACGCCCTCGACATCTCGCAGAAGATGTTAGACGAAGCAAAGAAGTTGAATGTGTACAAGAATTTCTTTTGTGCGCCGCTTAGTGAGGATCCTGTAGCGGAAATCGCAAATGATCAGTACGATGCTCTGATCTGTATTGGTACCCTTACAGTTGGTCACGTTAAGCCAAGTGCTTTCGATGAGATTTTGCGCATTGTGAAATCTGGTAAGGAGCTAAGGGTCTGTTTATATAAGGTGAGCCAGCCCTATTGGCAGGGATGGCCCGCTTTCGATACGGTCTAGTTCGGCTCACGCTTTGTTTTCTCTGAAAGGTTTCGTTGTGCTTATATGAGAGTGGGGCTGGCCCGGCTTGGTACGTCTGTTAAACTTTGGTCTACATGCTACGATATAATATTGTTTACACTTATACAATCAGCGTACCAAGAGCGGGTAACTTTGGAGTTCCGCAGCTGCTCGTGTTGTTACTCTTTCGCCCAAGTTTTGTCATATTACACCTGTTCTTGTAAATCTCCACTGGCTCCCGATTGATCTTCGGATTGAATTTAAAATGCTTACTGTTACTTACAAGACTCTCCATGGACTTTCTCCTACTCATATTAAAGATCTTCTTCAAAGTTACCTCGCGGCAGAGGATCTTAGGGCTTCAAAAAAAAAAAATCTGCTTGCCGTACGTGCTTTCAACGTAAACAGTTACGGTCGTCGTGCGTTTTCTGTTGCTACGTCGCTTCTTTGGAACATTCTTCCTCAGCATATCAGGGATGCTGGATCACTGCACCTTTTTAAAAGACAGTTGCAATTGAAAACCGTTCTTTTTAGACGCGCTTTTTTAAATTGATGACTTGTTTGTGGTGTTTTTATGTCTTGAATTATTTTATCTTTAGTTGTTGGAGTTTTTTATGGTGGTTTTTAAATTTTAACTTTTACTGTGTTTTAAATTTTTTAAACTTGTAAATAGCGCCTTTGGACCTTGGGAAAGGGCGCTTCACAGGTATAAAGGTCTCATTATCATTACTATTATTATTATTATTGTTATTATTATTATTTCCAAGCAGAATGACGAGCGATGTTTGTTCACTTTTGAGAAAAATAATTTGTCCAATCAAAAGTCAGAGTGGTGCACGAGTTTCGCGCCAAGTTTTCCTGCCTTTTATATCATAGGTGTTTGCAGCGCATTCGCTTCGCGGGTTGCTCAGTGGTCATGTGATAAATAATTGCTGAAACCATATTAAAGGGGAATTTTTCTGTTGAAAAGAGACAAATGGAAATGGGAATAGGAGACCTTCTTATATTTTATTGCGGTGAGGGTAAAAGACGGAAAGATTGCGGAATGGCATGTGGCATGGCTTGCGGAATGACATAATTATGCGGAATATAATCTATGGGAAATGGCGCAAAGAAATAAATAGCGCCTTTGGACCTTGGGAAAGGGCGCTTCACAGGTATAAAGGTCTCATTATCATTACTATTATTATTATTATTATTATTATTATTATTATTTCCAAGCAGAATGACGAGCGATGTTTGTTCACTTTTGAGAAAAATAATTTGTCCAATCAAAAGTCAGAGTGGTGCACGAGTTTCGCGCCAAGTTTTCCTGCCTTTTATATCATAGGTGTTTGCAGCGCATTCGCTTCGCGGGTTGCTCAGTGGTCATGTGATAAATAATTGCTGAAACCATATTAAAGGGGAATTTTTCTGTTGAAAAGAGACAAATGGAAATGGGAATAGGAGACCTTCTTATATTTTATTGCGGTGAGGGTAAAAGACGGAAAGATTGCGGAATGGCATGTGGCATGGCTTGCGGAATGACATAATTATGCGGAATATAATCTATGGGAAATGGCGCAAAGAAATAAAATAAACAGGAAAGTATGCGCGCGTCTCTGCCGCGCCTTTATTAATAGGGAACTTAAGATAGAGACGTGTTCGGGGCGACGGCAACTTCAACCGGATGTGACATCATCATTTGTTGGATATTGCGCATGCTCGTGCTCACCACCTTGCCTTCGTGGTCCCGTCGGCGACGTGAAACTGATCTGTTTGGCGTTGTGGCGAAAACGTGAGTATTAACTTTCATTTCAATCAGGTTTGTTGCGTTTAGCAACCAACATTTTGCAGATTATCGTTCTTAAATTGCCCTTGTTTTCTTTGAGGGACATTTCAAGCTCGATTTCCAAGCTCTGTTATCTAAACTTACATCTTTGAATGTTTCTATGTTTTCATGTCACAGGGTCAAGATCCAACTTGGCAAACAGCCAACCGTAAGTGAGCTTGACATGGACAAAATTTTCCTACGAGCCAAATGAAAGTATCCAGACAAAAAATATGAACTCCGATATTTCAATTGGGTTTTTATAGTTCGCTCTTTTCGTTAGAATATCGTATAAATAAAACGCATTGAAAATTATATAGAATAGTAGGTAATACCATGTACTAACTCGGCGTGGGAATACTGAAATAAAGTTGTTGCAGTTGTTGTTGTTGTTGCATGCAAGTATTTCCCGGAAATTATTTCAATACCAAACTAATACGGTTCCTTGGTAGCATTTTAATGTTCCTGTAATTTGCAAGGCCTCGGCAAGCCTGTGGAGATCATTTTTTTCAACACGAAATTCTGCCTTGAACTCAGCTGCATCCCGAATGTTTTTTAGCGTGAACGGATCCTAACTGTCCCGAGGAAATCGGGATTTTTGGACTCAAAATTTTCCCACAAAACGAGAAACTCTTCATCCGATACATGTTGTCTGCATAGCAAATATTTATTCTCTTAATTCTTTATGTGAAGCCATATTTTCTTCTTCGGTATTATTCTAATTAAAGGCGCTGTCCTTCTGAGTTCACTGCGATCTTAATGTTCTATTTTTGACGGGAAGCGACGGCTGCCTTAGTTCCAGGCTTTCTCTGCCAGTCCGGTCGCCGTCGCCCCGAAAACGTCTCCATCTTAAGTTCCCTATTGGCGCCAATTTGAACGAGCACTCGTGTTTGTCGGTCCATTTATTACTTTTATGAAAGCAAGGCTAAAATTGAAACACAGCTGATACACAAATACTTGATAAGTCATCGATAACTCGTTTCCAAAATAAACTGAAACGGTTCTTTACTCACATCTCTTTTCCAGTGAAGCGCAGTGAAAGTACGAAAACATGTCAAGTTTAAACAGTCTTCTATTGAGTTTTCACTCTCCTCATTACATAGAAAAACATCGTAACATCGTTGGAGGCAGCGTGGCCGAGTGGTCATCGTGTCGGACTGGCAATCCGGCAGTCCCGGGTTCGTGTCCCTCTCTTGCCACTTGCTGGAATTGTTGTTGGTCGTCCCGAGTTGAAATCTGCGGCCACGCTTGTAAATAGCCAACTGGCTGCCTCCTGCCAGTTGGGGTTTTTAATCCTGTTATGTTGTATTTGAATTATTTGTTTCTAGGCATTTGAGTGGAGTGCCTGTAAACTAGCTGGATAAGCTAAGTGCACTTTCCACTATAAACAAGCCTTTTTTTTTTTTTTAACAGCGGACGAGGTAAAATAGAAAGGAGGAAGAGAGAGGACCCTGGGAACGAGGGTTCTGGGAAATGGCAGACTCGGTAGACCCAAAAGAAATACAGAAATAAGCCTCGTAACTTCGTGCAGACGTACTGTGTCGCAAATCTGTCTGGGTTTTTAGGAGTATATAACCTGTGCTACTTGGCTAAACTCAAATCAAGCGTCACTCTTTATCATAACGCTAGAGGGTAAAAAACGCTCGCTGAACGCTACAGTTCTAGGGATTATGAATACGGTAAACGAAAAAGATCATTTTCGAGACTAAATGAACGCCTCGTGAGTCAAACATTAATTCGTAATCCACAAATCGAGTGAAGTGGTGAACCGCTCTCTGTCTCCTTTTGGCCTTTCCGCGTCTCTTCGCACCTCCCTTGTTTGTGCTAGTGTGTCGTTTGAACGAGAACTATATAGCCAAGTCATTAATATGTATTTTTTTTAACAGTTGGTGTGATGCCTTACCAGCTTTACTAACTTAATAACGGTAAAGGTAAAGGAGAAAAAAGGCTAAAAGTTGGAAGGAAAAGAAAAAGAAAAGAAAGAAAGAAAGAGAAAAAGCACACAAACTCGATTGCCAGGATTCGAGCTCGCGCTTCTCCGCCTACTGTTAGCTTCGCTTGCCTGAAACTCCACCACGCAGCCAAGGAAACAAAACACAAGATACGTTCTGTCTCTGAATGTGAGGATCAATCACGCGACCCACAGTCTTAAAAGAAACACTTCTCACGCGGTTACAAATGCAAATAAGGGTAAGAAAAGTGACTTTAATCGCGCAAATATCTTTTGCAGAAAAAAATTAAAGCAGAAGAGATCGTGACCTTCCAAAACATCTTTTCTTCATTTTCCGGCTTTCGAGATGTAGAATCGGTGCTGCCAGCAGCCCAACAATAAAGGCAAGTAAAATCATTGTGGCTGTGCAAAAAGCTAATCGACCGTGAGAAATCAAGGAGTCTTTCCTGGCTTTTTGATTGTCATCGTAGTTGAGCCCGCAACATTAAAAAAGCGGCTGCTTGTGAATTGATTGGCGCCAAAAAAGGACGCAATTTTCAGTTTGATTTATTTCTTAAAGTCATTCTACATATATTACATTCCGCATTATTATGGCATTCCGCAAACTATGCCACATGCCATTCCGCAAACTTATTCGTCGTTTAACCCTCACCGATTTTATCGTCCAAAAAGAAAAGTTGTACAGAGCCTGCAAGACAACTGTATCTGTCCTTGCCTTCCTTATAATTTTTACTGATTGTTCTCGAAAATTAGCTAGCCTGCTTAGCGGCAAATTTTATCACTTCGGCATATTGGAAAGATCGAAAATAAAAGGCTGGTAGAATGAAGAATGCCTCGCTCCATGCAAGGTAATCCAAGGCAGTCTTGGATTCTGAATTCAAAGGCCGTGGATTCCGGATTTCAGGCACTTGATTCTGGATACCTTGTTAGCGATTTCTGATACGTCGACAATTTGTGTGAAAATATTGTACGCGCACATGTTCCATGACTTTTTCTTAATTTTCGTTTTTAAACGCAATTTCTTTGATACGAAGGCTTGTCACTTGGCCTAATTCTTGTCGTCAAAGGCGGACTCAAAACTAACCGATATTTCTCTGTCTTTTTGGTTTTAGGTGGTATTATTGGGTTCACTCTTCGAAAAGACGTCTACAACGAGACTGTTGA